GTTAGTAGTACGAAACTAACCCCCCCTACCCCACCACACACACACTATGTATTTCTATGAAATTACCGAATATAATTCTGTATGTTTACACACACACACATATATATATATATATGACTAATGATTTAACATTAATAAGGAATAATTGTTCAATTGTAAGGAACAAGGGTATGCAACATTAATTCCAATTTCAAGGCTACTAAACAATTAATTGATTGTTTTTTTTATTACCAGCTGTTAGGCCTTATTAAATGCACGCACAATACAATGTTTTGTTCGTCAGTATAATGTATCTAATGTTTCTTAGAGCATAGGAGTTTAAAAACAAATTTCCAAGTTTAAACAGCACTCAATAGTTTGAATATTGTTACAAAATCGTTTTCATGTTATCATAGAGTCCATTGTAGTTGGCTTATTTTCTTATCTGTTTACAAATTCCACTTCTCCGTGAGATCTGATTGCAAGAGGTTGCCATCAGTAATAATCTGATGACTGAGACACAAAAAAAGTATTTGTATTCAAAAGCAATTTTTCACTGGTTCATGTTTAGTTTTTCTTGCATCTTTTTACAGTGGTGTAGGAAGAAATACATGTATACAAATGATACTTATTTAAAACATTGCATCCTTTTGTAAATAAAGGGTAGCAAACAAATGTGAAAATATAAAACTGTGAAAAAGTTCTGTTTAAAAAAAATGTCAACTCAGAAAACCCTTTTAAACTCGCATGTAACAAAATACATGGTGTTTCAGAAGTGCTCAAGTCATTTTTCATTGCAAAAGACCAAATTTGAGCTCGACAATAGTCAACTGAATTACTAGCCTGCATGCTATCTGTGGTATAATTTGCCACTAATATAATAAAAACAGATATGTTGATAAGGCAGATGGTTATGAAAAAAAGGTTTGTGCCTTAAATGTTGACATTTGTAAGAAAAAAGATGGGGAAAAAAACTATTTCTTTTCCAAGTCATCTTAACATTATTAATCCAGAGTGTTTAGTTACCACAATGTCAGCATTCCTAGCACAGGTGATATAGATTTATGATAATGTTAACTAATAAATAAAGAATTGAGTATTTCAAATAGTGGTGATCACAAGGGATTAGGGTTATTTGTGTAGATCTTTAACTGAAAGTGGAAGAACTCGATTAATAAGTTATATTGGTTTTGAATACTTAAGGCAATTACAGTCTTAGTGTTATTCTTATCCAATGAATGATTTGATAGCTTTAATGATAAAATGATTTAAAAAGTCATTAAATGTTTCTTGGGATACTGCAGTTGTGTGGAATATACTAATGAGGCATCAAAATCAACTTTGTCAAGAAATAAGAGTTTGGGTGAAAGTTCACAAATACCTTTTGGAACAGCTACTGTTTATAGTTCCACACAGAGCTGTGATCAAAGATTTTTGGTATTTAATACTAAGACATAAAATAATTATGATTCAATTTAACCAAAGTGACTGAATTATAAACGAAACAAAAATCGTGTTAAAGTCTTTCTCATTCCTCACACACAAAGGAGTTTCTCAGAAACAAATAAGTTGAGTTTTGGACCACTCAGCAACCAAAGCTCTTGTGTACAAGTCATTAATACAAGGATTTCAATCTGAGGCCAAAGTGTTGTGTATTCACAATACACAAGCTTTAATTTTGTTATAGCTTGTTTTGTAAATTAAGGAAAGCCGAGATTTTATGCAGAACATAGATTGTTTTTTTTTTCTCTATAAAAACCCGTCAATATGAAAATACATGTATAGTCTTACATGTAATTCTGAATATTTTAAAAGAGAAATGTAAATTACTATATATAAATATATATATTATATATAATATATCTTATATGGAACTATTACTTGGTGTGTACGTTTATATTTTTCTATGGTTAGATTGAGAATGTCGGTGAATGTAAAAGTACATTCTGGATGTGTAGATATTATTATGAGGTTGGTAAAAAAAAAAAGCTTTGCTATTTTGTACAAGAAAATGATGTGCAACTGTATTTGTCTGTGATGGGAAAGCTAACAAACGTCAAACTTTGCCTGCCATGTTCGTCTAAAAGAAATCCTGTTCAAACTTGGACAGAATTTCTTTAGTTGTTCTTGGAATCAAACTTTTTTTTTCTACTTTTATTTTTTAGTTTGAAAAATGTTTTGTGTAATAATAAATTATAAAGTTTATGCAACATTTGAAGACATATCATGATAATTGTGTTATTTTATGTTGTGCATTTCTTGTAAGATAAGGTACTTAATACAGTCAAGTACCTTGTTTTACATAATCACTTGTACAGAGAGTTATTCAGTGGCTTAAAGAGACTTTCAATAAATCTGTAAAGTGTTGCTATTCTCCTGTGATGATTTGGCTGAAAATCTCGAGGTTTTGAAGAATTCACAAGTTGAGAAATATAAAAAATATTGAAACAAAGTAAATGTTGATAAAAGTATCGAGAAGTATCAAGTTAAGAGAAAGATGTAACTTTTATATATAAAGAACAATGTATACCAATTGCTGTGAAGAATATGTAGTTCTTAAACCATAAAGATAGTGCTTATATGATACTTTTGTTTTAAACAGATTAAACCCAATAACAATCTCAAAGACCACTCACCTGGCTAATAGAGTAATTCAAGGTAAATTATTTGTTAAGAATTATTGTAAGAGTTTAAAAACTTTTAAACAATCATGTTCTGGGCAAATAACATTTATTGGGTCATTGTACTAAAAGTGTTAGCTAAGTTTTTTTACTTTTTTTTATAAAAAGTTAAATCTTTTTCTTTCAGATTTTTACTGCATATAAACAGTTGTTGTTTTTGATGAGTATCTTTTAAATTTTGCAATTTTATTTTGAAGTTTTGAATAAGAAACAGCTTAGTTATGCACAAAAATACTGAAAAAGCAGTTACTCATATTTCGTACCACATCAAACTTCTGTCAGCCTACTTTTGGATTAAATTTATTAATTTGATCACAGATTTTTAGAATATTTATCTTTAAAAAATCAGAATGTCTTACTCCATTATCATAAAACTACTTTTAAATAATAACATTCAAAAACAACAAAAGTTTAATACCAGTTTAGACACCAACACTAAACTTTGGTACATCTGTTGTATGAGCTGTGGATTAGTTGTTAAAAACTATGATTTAGCAGCATAATGCTTTTAAAACTTTCTAAATAAATATATACAAAATGTTTGAGTTGTTCTTGGATCTTGATTGGTGAGTTGTTGCTTGTTTATGTATTTTACACATTTTTGTTCAGAAGAATTAGTATTATTTAACTGTTCAAGAGTACTTTTTTTCTAAGTATAAAATTTTTTCTTACACAAAAAATGGCTTTCACATTACCCTCCATATATTAACAGATCTGTCCAACCAAAATATTCACCGTTTCTATATCTTACTTCACCTACTATATCTTATTAGTTTTGTTCCAGTAATTTATTGGGCTGTTTATTCACAAGTCACTTCTCTGTCTCACCGTTTCTATATCTTACTTCACCTACTATCTCTTATTAGTTTTGTTCCAGTAATTTATTGGGCTGTTAGTAAGTTTACAAGGATGTGTTGAAGTGATCCTGTTGTGAAAACAATGGATAAATCATGATGGTCTGTGACTTTTGCATCACCTTGCCTTAAACCTCTAAAGAAACAAAGTATCTAAAACATAAAAGAAAAGTTTAAAACTCAGTCTAGTGGGTAGCACTTCTAACTTCTGATACATAATAGAATAGAGTTGTTTAACATTTGTTAACAACAAGTAAAAGCTTGGAATGGTCTATTCTAAGTAGTGAGGTATCGAAATGGTGTATTTAAGTGTTTTACACTCATAAAAATTGTGGCAGAATGCTACAAGGTCTTCAAATACCTATAGAATCATAGGTTTCTTTTTTCTAACTTCTGTTCCTAAAATTAGTGGTTCAAACACACAGATAATCCTTTTCAAGGTAATATACCTGAAGACAGCAACTGATTACCAGCCACAATGTAACATCAATTAGTTTGAAAATTACTAATAAAAAAGAATAATTAATTGTTTACTTAAATATCAAGACAGGGTAAATACAGACTACTAATTAAAGTTAGCAGTGAACAAGTTTCCAACTGGAAGAGACAACAAACTAGTGGTTCCTAAACATTTTCCACTGACAACACCCCCTGCTGTCACATGCAACATTTTGTTTTGTAGTTTTTTTTATGTTTTTAATTATTCTTCTTTTGGTGAAACTCTTGCGACACACATATCAACTTGCTGCAATACAGGTTGGAAACCACTGCAATATACAGTCAAATTTTGGTTCCCATGATTAAAAATACTGTTAAACAGTTCAAGTGTTCATGCTGTGCAAGGGAATCTGTAGGGTGTACATGACAGGTGGTTGCCAGACTTTGAAAAAAATCCTTCAGCTGACTAGCGAAAAATTTTTTTAAAAATTATTTATCAATTTCATGAAGTTTCAAAAATTGGAATAATAATATAAAAAAAAAACCTTACCATACTGTTGTTTGTTATTAATCTATGTTTCTTACAAGTGGCTCACTTTTCCAGTAATTTACTTGAATGCACCTAGTGGTAGACCAACTTGTATTCAGAAATTTTAAATAAACTTGTATATTTGTCAGGTAATTTTTAAAATTTTATGAATGTTTCTTGACTTTTATTGCTAATATGAATTATTTGTTTATAATTCAGGACAAAAAAAAAAAGTCAACAACCCTCTCCTGACATTTGGCATTGGATTATTTATAACCAATAGAAACAAGATTCTGTTTTCCAATTTTTCTATGAGCCTAGAACATTCAGCCAACAGGTTTTGAAAACTTTAGCTTCAGTTTCATTGTTTACCACTGTCTTAAATTCAGTTAAATTAGTTAGAAAACCAGTTAAATTATAGTAGTTTTAGGACATAGATATTTGAGTTTTTAAAAAAACATTTGTGAGATAACATAAGCATAAAAAAAAAAGGCTTACTGGGCCTCAGACTTCATTGTTACGAGTACGTCACCTTGAAAACATGATTGCACATGTAAGTACTAAATTTCTCGTTTTTTATGAATACTTCTTATTTATTAAAAAGTAACGAAAATGTAAGAATTAAAAACTTATTAGGTTAGATAAGAAATTCATTTTAACTGCTTGTCCATGATATAATCAATACTTTGTTTACATAACTTGCACTAAACTCTTGCCAGATGAGTTATTGCTTTGTTACGCTAGTTTATTAGTTAGACACAGTTATTACAGCAATAACAAAAATAAAATGAAAGTAACTGTGAAAAGATTAAAGGTCTGGAAGCTTTTAGGATAAAATAACTGTAATCATCTGTTACAATTTGTAGTCAAACAAAATGTACTTTTGATTTGATTTTATATTTTTCAACTTTTGCTACAGTCTAATTTCACTACAATTTGTGTTAGGGTAGAGAAAATAAGTATAATTAAAAAATGTTACTATAAAAAAACTTAAGATTTTAATTT